AAATACCTGTGTTGTTTAGACGCAAAAATTACTTGGCAAGTAAAACTGGCCCACTGTCTTATTTATTCTTTTTTTGAAATGGGCAAAGTAGACACTGTTTATGGAAATGCATTTTAGATTAAGAATCCTTGTAATGCTTGGCCTGTCCAGATTGTAGCCTTCTGATAGAGCTGGCAGCATGAATGACAGCTGCAAACCCAAGGTTAGACTGCAGAGTCGGTTTCTCTCTGGCTTTCTCTCCTTTTAAGCCTCCCTTTCATGTGTAGCCAACTGAAAGCCTCCAAGTGAAATGTAAGCTCTGTAGCTCCTCAGGGGCCTGATGAGAGGATACAGAAGAAAGGCAGCACTTTGGAAAGCCTGCCGGAGGCATGGAGGGCAGAGGGCCCGGGCGATGACAGGACTCCCAGACCTTTCTAAGGAGATGAATGAGAAGGCAGTGCCTCTGTGGGCTCTGAACGTATTTCATCCACCAGAGTAGTCCTGGGCTATCAAACCAATTGTTTTGGCTTTATCCTTCAGATGTTGCAAAGGGAAAATGCATTCTTTTAATGCTCTTCCAAGCCGTTTAACCATTTATCCTTAATCATGTGCAGTCTGAGTGGGAATAAGTCTTTTAAAGATCACTGAACTTTGCTCGATTTGAAATCAGAGTCGAATTCATTTTATTTAATGTGGGAAACCTCCTTGTGAGACTCTTGACAGAAACTGCCTCTTTCGCCTCTGCGAGTTTAATTGAAAAAGAACGCTGTAGGAAGATACAGCCAGATGCACAAATGTCTGCTCATGGACTCAATTGCTATAAGCATCATGATGCTTTCTTTGGTGATTGATCATTGAAATAACCTTAGCAGCCAGATTTAGTGAGTTGGTATAAATGAATGAGTTTTAGGCTGCAGATACAGGGCTGTAACCATAGGCTAACCATCATGTACATACCGCGATTACCATAAACTGTATCCTTACCAGTTATATTAATAATGTTGGATAGATTGAGGAACATTTAATAGTTTTGCTTTGGTGGAAAAGTTAATAAGTCTGTGAGGCCACTAATGTGTGGAAGTGATCTGCAAAGTGAGATAAATTTCCCTTCTCACATCAGCATATCACAAAAGAACCAGACTGTGTGGGCATTTGGCATTTTAGAGATCTTTTTGAGGAGTAGTGAAGAATGAATGCTAAGAGTGCTAAATCAGTATCTTGGTACTTGCATTTGGCTGGCATAGATGTAGATAGAGTGGGCCAAAGAGAGCTAATTGGGGTGGGGGAATATTGAGAGGACCGCCTATAATGGTGAATAGAGTTATTTGTCACTGAGTTTGTAATAGGATTTTCAATTAATTCATGCAGGCTTCCAACGCCTTACATTAACCCTGTCAAGATGAACTACAGCCACATCTAAAATGCCATCCCCTATTAAACGGTGCATGTCAGTGAATTTGTAATTTCTTCTGTTCAACCAGAAGATGAATGGATTCTAGTCAGAAAACAAATGCATGATTCAGAAAGGCACATTTTTAAATCCCAAGCACTACCTAGGAGAAACATTCTTCGCATTGTTATACAGTGATCACGTATTAAAAATGTAATTGCTGCATGAATTCGTCCGAAGGGAAAAGTATCTAGCCAAGTAGAGACAAATATGTTGTCAGAGGCTGTTTCAGTGAACAGACTTTCAAACTGGCTGATGATGATGATGGTAGTTCATCCGTGCAATGTGTCCTGTCCACTGGGTCGCATCTGTTCCCTAAATGGGAACCTTCTCCCACCTCCTCCACAGGTGAAGAAACTGAGAAACAGAGAACTTAACCTACCCAAGGTCACAGCTAATCAGTAACTCAGCTAGAAATCAAACCAAGTTATGGAGTAGGTTTTCTGTTTCTTACCCTGTGCTGCTTGACCATAATCTCAGCAGCCAGTTTGATGTGTTATTTGTCAATACTCTGTTCCCTGCTTGCTGTTGTTCATTTTTTTCCTTTTTTTTCTGACTCTGTCTTTCTCTCTTTGTTACAGTAATATTTAATGTCATGTTTATTTACTACAACTCTCTCAAGCCTGTCTTCTGAAATCCTACTAGTCAATGATAACCAGACTTTTGTAGATGCATGACATACTAGGAAATGCAGTGAGGGTAGATGCACATGAGAAGTCTTCCATCCACAGAGGTGGACGTTGAGTGGAATGTGACTTAAGTCACAGGATTACAAAGGACCAGGATTCTCGGTGGGTGTTTCCCTGCTGATGAAACCAAATGGCATAGCAGAATTTCTTGTAAGTCAAGTCTAAATATCAGGAGTCCTTTGATTAATTAGAAGCAGGCTCCAAGTCAAGTTCTAAAATTCAGAATATGCGTGAGAGTTAGGATTTCTGGGAGGCTGATTCCTGCTTTCCCAGGCTATTGGCCTCTCAGAGCAGCTCTGATTAGCCCATTGCTGCACCATGTGAGCCAAGCCAAGACACGATGACTGCCAATAGCATTTTGACTGCAAGAACTACCATGTCTTTTAAGCCAAACAAAGATACTTAAGTTTTGTGTTTGGTTGTGTGCTTTTTTAAAAAAAGTTTGGCTATATGTAGACCAGATTCTGAATCTCTGACAAGAAACACAAGAAATTTTTAAACATTTGCAAGTTTTTTATTGCTATCACAGATGTAAGAGTTTGATCTGCCTTTTTTTTTGGAGTATAATATGCATAATGCCAGTAATGCTCTTTATTGGTCTAATTTATCTAAAAGTGTAATTTTTAAAAAATCCACAAACCCATTCTTTTAGACCTATGCTTTGCACCAGGAGAGAGCTCTGGTGCTGTAGTCTGTAGGGTGTTACACTGCTAACGCACAAGCCAGTTGGACTCTACCAGCATCTCTGAGGGAGAAAGACGAGCAGTCTCCTCCTGTGAAAACCCTCTGGAGGATCAGTCAGCAATGACTTGGTTCTGACTTGATGGCAGTGAGTTTTGAACTTACTGAACTTGGACCAGGTGCCTGCTTCCTTGGTTCCTCCAAGCTGGCGGGCCGACCTCTCTGATACATGGTCCTTCATGTGTCCATCTGTGTGTCAAATCCAGGAGTGGCTTGTCATTGCCTGAATGACACAGCAATACTATTTAAAACCCTCCTTCTTCTATGCTTTATGTTTTTAATTCCTCTCAAGGAACTCTTCATGTTTTATAAACCCAGGTCTCTATGGGATATACCACTCCTACTTCCATGCCTTTGCTTGTTACATCACTGCTTCCTGGAAGGCCTGCATTTTTTCTCTTTCCTCCATTCCAGCTTTGCTGGGCTAATGTCTGTGTATACCTTCAGAGTTGGCTCATGTGTCATTTCCTCAAGAAATGTCTTACCCTGTTAGCTCCAAAGAGAGTTCCAGGGTGGTGCTGGTGATTAACACGCTCAGCTCCTCACCAAAAAGGTTGAAGATTCTAGTCCACAAGAACCACCTCAGAAAATAGGCATGACAATCTACTTTCAAAATATTAGTCATTGAAGTCCCTCGGGAGCACAATCCTACTATGATACACAGGTAGTTGCCCTGGGTTGAAGCTAACTCGACAACTCGGCCTTGAAGACCCATGAGCTCTGCCTGCATGAACTGATATCAGACAATGTCTCTATCATTGCGTTTACTATCTTTTGAAGGCACAGCTATGCCCTATTCCTCCTTAAATCCTCTGTGTCTAGCATATTGCCTGGTTTAAAAAAATAAAATAAAAGCTCAATAAATATTTTCTGGATGAATGAATTGCTGAATAAGTACGGGAAAACAAGATCCCTATAACCTTGTTCAGTGAACTACTACAGATATGTTTGGTTTGCCATTTATCCTGAGAATCAATGACAGGCGGCAGTGGCCCAAAGAGACAGAGTTCTTAAAGTGACAGGCACCCCTCGAGAAGGGGCACCTCCAGTGCTGTTGAGAAGTATCACATTTATTCCATTTGATGATTAAATTGAGCCTTGCTTATGTATACAATATTAAAGTCTTTCAAGTAAGCCACAGTACAATACACCACATTCAGAATCTCATCTATTAGCATATCACTCTAACAGTGCTCTCTAACAAGGCAAGAACGGTGTTGAATGATATCACATAGGTTGTGAAACACCATATGTTTGTACTTTATAATTATAGAGTATAAGCTTTAAGAGGGCAGAGACTGACAGTCTTACAGTTGTATTGCAGCCTCTTACATGCAGTGTACCTTCAAGAAATACTTGCTGAGTTCCTGTAGAATTATATCAAGAAGTTCTGCCCGAAAGCCAGTCTCATCAGTTATGCTTAAGAGCAGTTGGTGCATTAATGAATTGTGCTCATGGATTAGTCTTCTACTCAGTGCTTATCATATATCCTGATGAATAGTTAGTAAAATTTATTAAAGAAAATTAATTTTTCTTCTATGCCTTTGTTTTATTTTTCCACCCACTATTTCATACCAGGAAGTCAGGAGTCCCTGGGTGCTTAAGAGTTTGACTAGCCAAAAGATTAGTCGTTTGAACCTGCCAACCAGGGTCTTGAGAGATAGACCTGGCAACCTGATCCTGATAGTCCACACTCTGGAAAACCCTCTCTGCACACATAGGGCTGCAGAGTTGGGCTCACCTTGATGGCAACTAGCAGTAAATGAGACTTAGCAGTCCTATTTTATGTTCTAAAGACTCCAAACAAAGGAAGAGCTCCTACTAAATTCAAAAGGCAGACCCTTGAGTTAATAATAAAGAGTTAAGGCTTTCATCTATTAACTAAAGGTTGGGGATTTGAGTCCACGTAGAGGCACCTTGGAAGATGAAGACAGCAAACAGGTTTAACATAAATTTAGTAACAGAAAACTAATAGTGGATCAGACACAGATGCTTTGTTTTTCCCCGTGAACATTGTGCTTGCATTTGATATTTGTTTCTCTATTCATAGAGTTTTTATGTGTACTTTCTGTCAAAGTATGAACCTTTTTAGAGACATTGTTGGACTTGTCTTTGATTGAAACATATTTCTTTCTTTAAAGGGCATACCTCAGTTACCATGTGCCAAAGCATTATACAACTACGAAGGAAAAGAACCTGGAGACCTTAAATTCAGCAAAGGTGACATCATCATTTTGCGACGACAAGTGGATGAAAATTGGTACCACGGAGAAGTCAACGGGATCCATGGCTTTTTCCCCACCAACTTTGTGCAGATTATTAAACCATTACCTCAGCCACCACCTCAGTGCAAAGCACTTTATGATTTTGAAGTGAAAGACAAGGAAGCAGACAAGGATTGCCTTCCTTTTTCAAAGGTAAAATGAGAATAAGACCATTTTCAAGTTGCATATACCTTGTATCGCTGCATTCGTAGACACAGTTTATGTTTCCCTTTTGTAAAAAGGTACAGTAATTTTATGTGAACAGTCTTGTTGGACCTCTAAATACACTTGGAAGTGAAAGCACACACAGTTAAGTTCTTAACTGCTAACCAAAAGGTTGGGAGTTAGAATGCATCCAGAGATTGGAAACATCACAGGTTGGCTCTGCCCACACAGGGACTCCATGAGTTGGAATTTGACAGCAGCTTAAAATAACCGTCTTCTTAAAATTATAAGGAAAGACGTTTTGTTCATTGGCTCTTTTTGTAAGAAGAGTAATTTTGGATAATGCCCTTTGTGGTGTCATTTCCGTATTAGTTTGTTGTTGACTACCTTCAAGTCGAGCATGACTCATAGTGACCTATGAACAAAACGCCTGAAGCTCCTTTACAGCTATTGACATTTATCTGAGTTCACAGAGTTTCTGGAGGCATGTTATTTAGGAAGTGGATGCCACTCCTGCTTCCAAACCTATCATAGTATATTATTGTTATTATGTGCCATTGAGTTGCCTGCGATGTATAGCGATCCTATATACAGCAGCTCTGAACCCTTTCCTGTCCTGAGCCAGTCTCACTAATTCTGACACACCAGCCCACTGTTGTCCCAGTTACTGTATCAATCCATCTCATCCAGGGTCTTCCTCTCCATATTTAGAGCTCAAATTTAATTTTAAGCTGTTTAAAGTGTGTGTATGTAAGTAACTCAGACCTTTTGAAGTACTGAATTATGTATACCAAAAAGAAATGTCATTAATTATATATTTTATATATAAATGTCTTTGCTTTCCCTCTATTCCTAAGAGACATATCTATGGAATTGATAGTGGTTTGGAATTTTAAACAGAAAATTATGTTTTAATGTAAGAAAAAACCCCAGAAGGATATGCAGTTGGGTGGGCATTTAGTCTTTTATCAGAGAAAAGAAAAAAAAAGAATCTGTGAATCAAGAGTCTGGACTGAGTAGTAATTGAGATTGTAACTTGGAACTCTAAACAAAATAAGCAGCCAGTCTCTTTCATAGAAGGAGTGCGCAGTTTATAGGTACCTGAAAGTAAATCAAGGTGACCTTCAGGTTACAATTTCATTCATGAGAACTCTGTATTCCTATACAAAAGCTATATCATTACAGTATCATACAAGTACTTATAAAACGTAATCCCTCTATTGAAAAAAAACAACAACACTTGAATGATAAGCTTAATGGGACCAGGTAGACTAATCATACGCCATTTTTTCAGGATGATGTTCTGACTGTGATCCGCAGAGTGGATGAAAACTGGGCGGAAGGAATGCTGGCAGACAAAATCGGAATATTTCCCATTTCATATGTTGAGGTAAGCTAATCTGTAGAAACTTGGATCAAGTTAGTATTCAGTTTAGAAAATAAATCTTTATTATGCACTTAGAAGCCCTACAACACAAAACAGGATACCCTGTTGCCAACCACTGGATAGATTGGGAAGAGTCCCTCTATCCTGCCTACAATTGCTGGAGACTGAAATAGGTGATACTCTTCAGTTTGCGCCCCCTGCTAAAAGCATTCCTGTCTCTTGTTTCATGTTACTGTAAGCTTCCTATCAGTCACCTGTGCTGTTTCCAGGTGTCTTGTTCCATTATCCAGCTTTAAGATCAGAAGGCTGTTAAAGTTCCAGAGGTAGGTGGGAGATTAGTTTGTTTATTCACTTGCTCATTTCTTTTATCTGTTATATTTTAAGAACCAGAATAGTGATTCACAGAGTAGGCCTTTAATGAATATTTATTTAATAAATTAATAAATCTTTTATGCCATACTGAGCTCCTCCCCCTCTTTTTCATTAACTCTACTTGGAAAAGCCTTTAAAGTGAATGTGTGTAAAGAATGCTTATAAAGTAACAGAGTTGTATTATCAAATAACACAAATTCAGAATGAACTGAAATGTTATCGTTTGTAGTAGACCTATATCACATCATCTACTCTAAACTTTCCTGCCCTCTAATAATAAGAATTTCACAAAATTCTTATTCATTTTCAGCTTAACACAAAGCTGAAAACCCTATTTAAAGAGTGAAACACAGCCCTCAAAACCATACACGTCTACCTAGAATAATGGAAGGCTGTTGAGAATAGGTGAGATCTCAGTGTGGAGGATGGTAGGAAAGAGGTATTATATGGAAGAGGTGCATTTTATGGCAGCCTACAAGGTAGTTAGGGAGACTAACATGTTCAAAAGCCAAAAAAAGTTAAGAAAGGCACAGATTGTTTGGGGAATTGAAAGTAATTCTGTTGTTTAAAATATCAAAGTATATATCTTAAGCATGTGAAAAAAGAAAAACTACCATCCCTTGTTTTTCCATCTTTTTATCTGAAGCATTTGTTTTGGCATGATTCTGAAAACTAAAATGACAAAGTGTGTCGTTGTAGCCAACACTCAATTTCCCACACAGACAAGTGAGAGTGCCAGAGTTTGCATAAAAAAATCAGTTGACTACTGTACACCCATGGAAAAGTAATTGAAACCATGTACAAATCTTGACTTTCATCCATACCCTTCAGATGTTCCTGTTTATTGAAATATTTTCCCCCCTTCTTTGAAATAAACTAGAAAGGGGAAAAAAACCCTTCTTACCTCTCAGGCTTTTCTTTTGGAATATTATTTATATATTCTAATGTGGGTCATGGAAAATTACAAGCATTTTCAAATATTTGAATAGATGTACTAAAGAGCATGGGTAAGCACAAGGTGAGTAATGAAAGCTTGTCTTTACTTGTTAGGTATTATCAATATCACATGCCAATACTTGGTCTGTGGTGCACGATAAAAGCTTACCATGTTTTTGTTATTGGGCAGGTGTAGAATTGCACAGATAGGCATAAAAGATCTCCCCACGGCAAATGCGGGGAGTCACTTAGAGTCACTCAAGTCATTATTTGCCTTGACTTGGAAAGATAAACCTCTGCTCAAACAAAGTATTTTCATTCTTTTGCCTTTTTTCGTCAGTTGAGCACTTTTCTCATTTGAACCAAAATTCTGCCAGTCACGACGTGATAAGCAAACCATCCATCTCTGGGAGACAGCACTTCTTTGATGTCAAGCCATCAGAATGAGGTTCCTAGGATGCTAGTAGGGAACTGAGCATGTGGGGATTAGTGCCACCACCTGGTTTAGCCCCAAGGGGAATGGAGTAGAGACAGCTTTCTATAGCACCCTACCAAAATCCAGCTACCTAAACAAAGCATGGACTATCTGTCAGCCTCAGACATGGCAAAAATCAACTATAGGAATTGAAAACTGTGGTTTTGTTCCCGAATAATGATGGCCTTTCTTTTGCTCTGTTAACTTTTTAATATTTTTCTCATTCAGGACCCAGACAGTTTCTAATATAAAATCAGACTGTGTCAGAAAAATACATTTGTTAATCATTTTCATGTCTTGTGGATGAAAAAAAAATCAAGTCTTTTTTCATTATGAGATTTTCACAATATTGCCAAAAACTCTTATTCCTAGAGGTTTTATATGTGTTAGATGAGATGATGTCTCTCAAAGGGTCTGGTACAGCCACTTCTTATGCAAACTGGTTTTAAACCCAGATTATAACATAATCCAAAAATATGCCAGAATATTGAGGATCTCACAGTCATACATAAGGAGAGGAAGTAAGCTAAAAGCTAAAAGCCCAAATCTTTTAAGTCTCCAGAACTTAACCTTCCTTTGCCACAGGCCTGCCGATAGAAGCTGCAACTCCTCTTGGACTCTGGCTGGTTTGTTGACTTTGACCATGAAAAAATGCCCAAGGAACTTGTAGCAGAAACTCTGAAAAGGGTGGACATAGTAGTGTTGTGGGTGTGAAGCGGTTCAGATGTGGAGCTGTGAATTTAAGGTCGGGATAAGTGGGAAGGGGCTGAGCTGTAGAATTGTGTAAAGAGAGGATTCTTAAAAACAAAGTAGAACTCTCAGACTCATTGCTTTGAGTCAGAATTGACTGATAATTGACCCCCAAAGGGTTTCCTAGACTGTGTATTGCATAGGGAAATTCTATCCATGTTTCTCCCAAGGAAAGACAGTTTCAAGTGGGAGGACAAACCCACTGACCTCAAGTGGGTTCCAACTGAGAATGATTTCTCTATTAGATTTCCATGGCTTTAAATATGTACAGGACGAGACTGGTGGTTCGAACTACCGAAGTTTAGGTTAGCAGTGCAGCATGTGATGCACTGTGCTGCCTACTGGGAGGCAAGTAGTAAGAAATGCACCTGGGATTCTGTACCTTCCTTATACCCTTTGTTTTCTCTCTTAAGAGCCCACAATGATGAACTTGTGTTGGAGTAAGATAATAAAATGTCAGCCTTCTTTAAGTTTTGAAGAAAGCTGAGTATCTAGTTAGGAATAGTGACTGGGGAAGAATGACTGTATAGAAGACCTTGGTTCCCTCATGGAGTCATCATTGAGCTTTTAGGATTAGGGTTCGCTTCTTTTGATACCTTTCTCCACTGGAGAGTCTTCTGTGCAATTTTGTTAGACAGGTCTCTCTGCTCATGCCTTAGAGAGTGGGGGTTCTCGTCTAGGAGAAACTGGTTTTTCTGCATGCTTGGGAACAGTCTGGGTGGAAATCTGGAGAGTTCTTTATGAAATCATGCCAGGGTGACCTTTTGTATTAAAGGATATCTTTGTCCAGAACTGGCTATAGTTTTGTTGACAGTGTTTTTTATTGGTTTTCTTTTTAAAGTTAGTATGCTTCTTTCCTTCTTGAAAAAGTACCAGTTTATCACAAGATAAAATTTACAACTATCAGTTTAGAGCTGACTCATTCAGATTTCTTGAAGTTGAGATGCCATCAGTACTGAAGGCTGCAGTGTTTAATCTTCTTCAGCAAGTACTTAAGTCTTCCTCACGTTTAGCAAGCAAGGTTGTGCCATCTGCATACCAAAGGTTATTGATGAATCTTCCTTCAAATCCTGCTGCCACATTTTTCTTCACAGAGCCCAGATTCTTGAATGATTTGCCCAGCATACAGATTGAATAAGTACAGAGAAAGGCTACAACACTGATGCACACCTTTCCTAATTTTAAACCATACTGTATTCCCTTTCTCTTTCCACACAACAGCCTCTATCTTAGTCTAGGTATAGGTTTCACATGAGCACAATCAAGTGTTCTGGAATTCCCATTATTCTCAATGTTAGCCATAATTTGTTATGATCCACACAGTTAAATTCTTTTTGCATAGTTGATAGAACACAAATAGACATTCTTCTGGTATTCTCTGCTTTCAGCCAGGATCCATTTGACACCAGCAATTATATCTCTGTTGCTCTATTTAAATCCAGCTTGAACCGGTAGTTCTCTTTGTATACTGTTGTAGCTGTTTTTTAAATGTTCTTCAGCAATACTTTACTTGCATGTGAAATTAATGATATTGTTGAAATTTCCACATTTTGTTGCATTACCTTCTTATGGCAACAAGCATTGATTTCTTCCAGTCATTTGGCCAGGTAGCTGTCCTCCAAATTCTCTGGCATAGACTGGTGATCACATCCAGAGCTCGATCTGTCATTTGAAACATTTTAGTTGGTATCTCACCTATCTTGGGGGTCCTCTTTTTGCCAGTGCCTTCAGTGCAGCTTGAGTTTCTTTATTCATTATCATTGGCTCAAGATCAAATGGTAATTCTTGAAATACTCCCATTTCTGCCGATTCCTTTTAGTACAGTGACTGTACTTTCTCTATCTCTTTTTAGGTGTTTCCAGGATCATTCAAGATTTTGCCCTTAGCATTTCTAAGTATTGCTTCTCGAGGCTTGAATTTGTTTTTTAGTTCCTTCAGCTTGAGAAACACTGAGCAAGTTCTTCCCTTTTTATTGTTCAATTTTAAGTCTCTGTACTTTGTGTTATAGTAGTTTGCTTTGTCTTCCCAAGCTACCCTTTGAAATCATCTGGTCAGCTCTTTATCTTCAGGATTTCTATTTTGTTTTGGCTTCTTGATGCTCTGAACAATTTTTGGGGATTCTTTTTTTTAAATTAAATTTTATTAATTTTAATGAACATTTGCAGAGATTTTGGGTTTCCATTCATTCATTGTTGCACTATTTTCTCTACCCTCCTCCCCAGTTCGTTCCTCTTTTCTTACCCCCTTGAAAGACTGTCTTAATTGTCCAATTGCCACAGTGCTTGTCAAAGCCAGTTCTGATTGATCTCCTTTGTCAGTGTGTCCTTTGCCATTCCCTATCATTCCTCCCTGAGAGAGAGTTCACACTGATTCATAAGGAAGAGGGGATGGCGTATTCTCTTAGCTACTTCCTGCTGAAAAGTGACGCTGTAGGTTTCAGGGTGAAGATCTTCTCTCACTACTCTAAAGG